GTTTGAAGTTAAATTTAACAATGAGTTTTGTGTATTATTATTGTATTTTTGTTTAGCAATTAGTAAACTTGTTGCTGTTGCTATAAACTTGTTGCATTCTGAATCGAACCGCGTTAATTACATGCGGGTATGGTGTTTAATGTCCGAGACGACTTCTATGAATGCACGAAACTCGCGTTGAATGAATCAACATTATTTTTTTCCGTTCGAAAATATTGTTATTTTCACTAGAAAACTTGTCGAATTTTGTTGATTTCGTATTGGAATTTGTCTCTCTTTTTTTTCTTTTGTTTCAAAGAATGTTCGAAAAATTGATATGTTGAAGTAACCATAGAAACTAGTATATTTTCTGTTTTGTTTCTGTTGCTCTTTTGTTTATTTTTGTTGATGTTTAAACGATTGATTGATTCTTGCAATCAAAATTCGAAGTCGAAGATAAACAGTTGAGCAATCGGTTGTATTCGATGGGGGCACGGCCAACTCGACGATAATGTGCAATCTCCGAATTCCGAGCAAACGAATGTTTACGCATTCCGGATTCGTGTTATCGAAGAACGATGATTGCAGTCGCGTGCCTTCCTTACTTCCTTCCTTCCTTCCTAACTGCCCAACCAACACTATTACACCACACCACTTCTTCGATAAACTCATCTCGACTTCTCATTCTTCTGTGTTCTCGCTCAACGCGCAAAAGTTGCGAGTTATTATTATTTGCATGAGCATCTCTAGATTCTTCTCCTTCAGATCTAAATTTTTATTTTTTTTAGCAGCGACGAAGGAAACCGTGCGATGATCGATCGCAATAACACTGATACACAACGATAAATCTATTTGTTTAAGCAGTTATGTACAGTTACGTAAGTAGCACGCATCTTACAGACGGAAACACTCGCAATGTGCACTAATCAATAATATACGCATACACAAAACATCGCAGTAATCCGTGTCATACATATCATTTGTTTCTGCGATTTTCTATTGTCATTATTATTATTATCATCATCATGTTGGCTTTTGCTGTTGACTAATGTTTGATAATGGATTTGTCTAATGACTAATTCTAATTTACGAAGTTTAACTATAATTAATCATGTTTTAAACGGTTTTTTTTTTGTTGTCTTTCAGCAGATGAAACGCATGACAATTTGAAACTAAATATAAAGATTCACTTTTCGTTTTGTTCACGAAAAAAGAAACAATTGTCGTTGAGTATATTCAAGTTCCCACTAAAGTGTTAATTTAGTTCAACAAACAAACCGTTTTACGTAATCGAAATGAAACGTAGATTTACATGGATGTTATAACAAAAAAACTAAACAATTGAAGTTTCCCCCCCAATTAATTATGTGATTATTAATCTAGTAGCTTGTTTTTTAGTTGTTTTTGTTTTTAGCTTCAAACACGTGTTTTTCGCGCGCGCTTATCGGAGGCGGCCGCGACTGCTAACTGTTTCTACCGCCCATACAGAAAATACCTCGTGTCTTTCTCTTTAAACTTTTTGTAAAGCGGATTTGTATTTATACACACACACTGTTTGTTATTAATTTTTTTTCACTTCTTCTTTCTTTTCGTATCATTTTTTAACAATGACTAAGCCTCTCACACATACTCACTCACTCGAAGTATTTGTGTGTGTTTGAGTGTGTGGATCACCTTGAGGAGGGTGCAGCAAGTGCTTCAAGTTTTGTAAACGTTTTACCGCGCGACATTATTAATCCGCTCATATTCATTTGTCTTTAGTCCTTCGTCCGATTTGGTTGGTCCGTTTACTCTCGTTCTCTCTCGGTCTTCAATTGTTTTTAATAGTCGACGAACGCGACTTTTGTTTTGTTTTGTTTTGATTTTGTTATTTATTATTATTATTTTTTTGGAAACGCGCTGGTGATGGTGGTGTCATCATCGCACCGAAATACAATCAACAGTTGAGGACAACTTTATAAATAATAATGTGCCTCCCATCGGACTTAGGATGTTGCGCGGTTCTATCTTTAACCGTGTTCAAGGTATATAAAAGGATATATCCACGCACCTCCATACCATTCATTCGCCCAATTTCAACACATTCACACACACACAGTAGTAGCAGCAGCAACATGCTGCGATTCCTTACTAACAACGTAATTCTACAGAAGCTGGACAGTGTTTAATCCAGAGATCCTCCACAACTTTCATTAACTTAAGTTTATTTGTCTATTTATTCTCTGTTTTAACTATGTCTCTGGTAAGTGAGTTCTTTTACTTCACGAGGGGAAAGCACGTACCCCTCTGGAATAAACACTGAACGCTAATAGAAATCTAAACTTTATTTCTATGTAAATTAACATTTTTGTTGTTGTTATTTGTTATAGTTGGAGGCGATCTTCAAGCCCGGGAAGAAGACGTCGACGACGTCGAGACCCGGGTCGATCGTGACATCGAGGCCGCTCTCGGAGACGGACTTGGCCAACTCGGATGTGGAACCTGAGATGGAACAGAAGCGCTACGAGGCGCGAATCAACGCGATGGACGACAAGGAACTTTGCACCAAGTTCGAAGATCTCCTCGTAAGTCACCACCACCATCTAATCTAATTTATATTATTTGATTTATCTTGAAAAATTACTATTTCTATAACAGAACGATATGAATCTGAATGGGGAGAAACGACAACCACTGGATTCGTTCACTGCTGATATGAAGAGGCGGATGCTGATCATGCAGTACAAGGGTGCGAACCAGGAGAGCAAGAGCAAATTCGACAAACCGCAACAGTACATTGATTATCTGGACAATTACCTGAAGCCCGAACTGTTGAGTCCCCACAAGTTGTTCCAATGCGTGGAATCTCTGAGGATAGCACTCACCAATAATCCGCTCTCGTGGGTCAACGAGTTCGGATCGGATGGTATGGAGATGCTCTTCAGGGTCATTGATACAAGCACAAATCAGTGAGTTATTTAATTTACACTTTCATTATCATCAAATCGTTTATATTATTATTATTATTATTATTATTTACGTGCAGCAAACGCGACGGCACCACGAAATTCGATAAAGTCCAGGTGGAATGTCTGAAATGCATCCTGAAGTTCATGAACAACACGGAGGGATTGAAATCTTTCTTGCGCAGCGATCACGGTCACAGGATCATCGCGAATTGCATCAACTGCAAGAGGCCGGCAGTGACCATACTCGCTCTACAGGTCGGTGCTTCGTTCCCATCATTAATCGATTAATCTGGTCAGAATCTGTTGATGGTGTTGTTGTTGTTGTTGATATTTTTCAGATCTTGGCTGCGCTTTGTTTCCTGGGTGAGGATAACCCCAAGAAGATTGTGGGAACGGACAGGGCTTTGGCGGCTGTGACGATGCTCGGGGAGAGCAGAGATTGCGAACGGTTCCGTCCCTTCACCGATTGCATCACGAAATCCGATAACGAGGATCTGTGGGCCAACTGTTTGAAGTTCATCAATTCCCTACTTACCATCGAGGATTTCGATTTTCGTCTGCATCTGAGGAACGAGATCGTGCGGAACGGTCTGCACGATTACCTGGAGAAGCTGAAGAACTATTCGAATCCGGTGGTGAAGACGCAAATGGACGTGTTCGAGAACTCGAAGGAGGAGGACGCGTACGAGCTGACGCAACGGTTCGAGAACGTCAAGTTCGATATGGATGATCTCAACGATTGCTTCGAGATGCTCAAGAACACGACGCTCGACACGTCCGCGGAACCGTTCTTCCTTAGTATACTGCAGCATCTGCTGTTCGTTCGGGATGATTACGTTATTAGGCCTTTGTACTATAAGATTATTGAGGAGTGCGTGACGCAGATCGTGCTGCATAAGTCGGGCTTGGATCCGGATTTCACGAAGAGGCATCTCAATATTGTAGATCTGCAGCCGCTGTTCGACGAGATCCGGGACAAACCGTGCACGTACGAGGATAGTAAAGTGGAGGAGATCAAGAAGCAGCTGGAAGAGGCTCTGGCTGCTAAAGAAGAGGCCTTGGCGAAGCTCGCCATAATGGAGGGTCGTGGTGAAAACGGCGGCGGCGGTCAGACCGGGAAATTGGATCCGAACACGGTGAACGCCGTCAACAAGGTGCTCTCTCCTGTACCTCCGCCACCCGTACCAGGGATGCCGCCGCCTCCACCGTTGCCCGGAATGGGCGGTGGTCCTCCACCTCCGCCAATGCCAGGTATGGTCGGTCCTCCGCCACCGCCGATGCCCGGAATGGGTGGAGGACCGCCTCCACCTCCTTTGCCAGGAATGGGCGGGGCACCGCCTCCTCCACCAATGATGGGTGGTGGTCCTCCGCCACCCCCGATGATGGGAATGGGTCCACCGCCGATCCCCGGCGCCGTCCCCTTACCAGGAATGGGAATGCCGGACGTCCTCCCTCACGGCCTCAAACCCAAGAAGAAATGGGACGTGAGCGGCCCCCTGAAGAAGGCCAACTGGAAAACGATCATACCGCAGAAGATGTCCGCAAAGTCGTTCTGGCTGAAAGTCAAGGAGGAGGATCTGGCTTCCGTCGATATTCTGGACGGTCTGTCGACACGCTTCACCTCCAAACCGATCACCAAGAAATTCGACGACGTGGACAAGTACGCACTTTGTCCAATTTTCACAACTAGCATATATACTAAACGACTATTTCAGAAACTCGAATGTGGGTACGATGAAGAAGGCCAAAGAACTGAAAGTCCTCGACGGTAAATCCGCCCAGAACATCAGCATCCTGCTGGGAGGCAGCTTCAAGCATCTCGCCTACGACGACATCAAAAAGTGCCTGCTGAAATGTGATAACAAGATCCTCACCGAAAGCGTTCTCGAGCAACTCATTCAAGTTAGCTATACCGCTCACTTATTGTCCCACATTGTATACATTAATAATTGTTATTGTTTTGTAGTATTTGCCACCGCCAGATCAGTTGACGCAATTCCAACAGTACAAAGATTCGTACAACCAGCTGACGGGCGCAGAACAATTCTGTTTGAAGATGTCCGAGGTGAAACGACTGTTGCCACGCCTGAAATCGTTGAAATTCAGACAAAACTACACGGAGATGGTGAGCGACGTGAAGCCGGACATCGTTGCAGCGACAGCCGCATGCGAGGAGGTCAAGAAGAGCAAGAAATTTGCTAAACTGCTGGAGCTGATCCTGCTGTTAGGCAACTACATGAACACGGGCACGAGGAACGCTCAAGCATTTGGCTTCGAAATCAGTTTCTTAACGAAGGTAACATTTTTTTTTAATTCAATACTTAAGGTCAGTTAAATTGATGGCGGGTTTTCAGTTGACCGGAACGAAAGACATCAATAACAAGCAAACGTTGCTGCATTACATCGTGGAAACGACGGAGAAAAAGTTCCCGGAGGTGCTGAACTTTGCTGACGAGATGCAGCACATCGACAGGGCCAGTCGTGTCTCTCTGGACACCATCCAGAAGACGCTGGTGCAGATGGACAGGGATATCAAGAACTTGGAGATGGACATCAAGAACAACAGGGAACCGCAGAACGAGGACGACCTCTTCGTCGAAGTGATGGATAAGTTCTCGAAGGAGGCGCGAGAGCAGTGCGACGTGATACAGAAGATGTTCAAGAAGATGGAGACGCTCTACTCTGACCTCTCCGAGTATTACGTCTTCGATAAGCAGAAGTACACTCTGGAGGAGTTCTTCACCGATCTGAAGACTTTCAAGGATAACTTTATGGTGCGTTTCTAATCAATTGTAGTTTTGGCGCTCATTTAATTACTTTCTTTTTTGTTTGATTTAGAATGCGAAGAAAGACAACGATCTAGAACGGGAACAGGAGGAGAAGAATAGAAGGGCAAAGTTGGCACGAGAAAAGGCGGATCGCGAAAAGCAGGAGAGGGAAGCGCGAAAGAAGGCCATCGTCGACATGAATCCCTCAGAAACACAAGAAGGAGTCATGGATAGGTTCGATATTCACACATATTCGTCCAGAGATTCTTGTATAATAACATATTGTTATTATTATTATTTCAGTTTACTGGAGGCTCTGCAAACAGGAAGCGCGTTCAGTCGAGAGCAGAAGAGGAAAAGGGCGCCGCGACTAGCAGGAGGTAAATAATATTCACTGTCCCCTTTTTAACGTAATTTGCTCTTTAACTAAGCCTTTACTTCTAACTGATTAATATCGACCAACTACTACTTCTTACTTCATCTAGTTAACTATCATGTCAATAGTATCGAATGCAGTTGTTTCTTTTTTATTCGCATTGCTCGCTGCGCGATAATTACCAAGTAACTTAATGATTATCGCGTCACGAGTAACCTTAGTAATGGAAAAACAACAGCAAAACAACAACCCGTTAGTTATGGGCGTTAACAGTAACCTCTTTCGTTTCTATTTGAATAATTGAATAATGTCGATTTTCCCATAGCCGCCTTTGAGCTATTCTGCAGGTAAAGACATTCTCTCTTCTTATAGGTTCTCCTCTATTCTTTTTTCTTTACCGCAAGTTCTGTAATTACACCCGTACATTGATTTGATTTTTGATTTTTATTTTTTATTTACAACTTTATTATTTTTTTTTGTTTTTTTTTCTGTTTGTTTCGCTTTTTAGCCGATAGAAGAGCAAAGTTAGTTCGGTCTAGATCTAGAACCAATGTCATAGCAGGCCGAGAGCTAAGGTAAATTATTAACAACAACAACAAGTAGATAACAAACACACACGTAATTCGTTCACATCCAATCATCCACCACCGTTCACTTGATTCCTCGTTTATCCTAGTTTCGGAAAGTGCCAATCATTAAACTCATCAAATCAAGAATTCTCTCTATCTGACGTTTAATACTTGACACTTTCAGCTGATCTTTGCATACCGCAATTGCCTTTACGCACGCAGTGTTAACACACAGTCTTCTGGATTGGACTTGATGATGATGATGATGATGGTGATGATGATGATGCCCGAACGTTTGTTCAGAACCTCCACATTTCTAAACTGGCATTTGTTTATTTTTGCAGAGAAATAATGACGTGAGGAATCTGGATTCCGTAGTGTTTTTGTTTATTTAAACTTTTTTTTAGTTATTTATAAAACTTCAACGAAAAAAAAACAGGGGGAGAGAAATGAAATTATTTAATACGTTTCCCTCCCTCCCCCCACACTTTCGTTGCTTCCAATTTACACTTTTGTTTCTCGAACCGAGAGATGCGATGCGAGAGAGTTGAAACAAAAGCGATTCGCATCTCACTTGATCAATTTACCAAACAAACCACCCACTGTTTTATTCGATTGTGTTTTTGTTTTTTTTTTCGACAAATTTACACACTTGCACACTAAATGTTTCTACTCGCGCGCATACTTTATTGTTATTATTAATTTCCGATACATTTATATTAGGGTTATTATTATTATAATTATCATTATTAATTGTATGAATGAAAGTGGTTGTTTTTTTGTTTATGTTGAGTTATTCCTTCTTTTTTTTTTCTTTTCTGTACATAATCACGTATATATTTATATATTGAAAGAAAACGTTTTATTTTATTTTCTTTGTAAATTTTGTCCAAGAAGTCCTTCCACTATTCGAGAGAGAGAAAGAAAAGAATCAAAATTCGATCGTGATGGACCGATATTATTATAACTTTCTGTTGTAAATGAATGAAAAATGTATCTATTTATATTACTAATATTTAAGTGATGAATCCTTTATACATATACACACACACACATACATTTTTATATATATATATATTTTGCATATTAGCAAAACGATGAGAATCGAAATTTTGTAAAAAAAAACATAATTAACGTAACAAAAACAACAACAAAAAAAAAGAAAAGTAACCGAAACGCTCACACCAATTGAATTGAAGAAAATTCGAAAGTTTATACGATTTATTATTGGCCGTTTGTTTTATTCACGCCCATCGTAAACCACTCCCAAAAAAAAACAATATTATCCCATTAGTCGGTAAGTTTTAATTAACTTTTAATTGATTATTTAACAAGATGGCTTATGGATGTTGAAAACAAAATCATGTAGTGTAAATTTGGTTGCATATGTTTCATATTTTTTATGGGAATTCCAATAAGATCTTTTAAAATGTGGCAGCTATAATAAATACTACATTTAAGTCGTTAAGTTTTAATTAACTTTAATTGATTGTTTAACAAAATGGCATATGGATGTTGAGAACAAAATTATGTAGTGTAAATTTGGTTGCATATGTTTCATATTTTTTTTATGGGAAGTCCAATAAGATTCTTTAAAATGCGGCAGCTATAATAAATACTACATTTAAGTCGTTAAGTTTTAATTAACTTTAATTGATTGTTTAACAAGATGGCATGTGGATGTTGAAAACAAAATAATGTAGTGTAAATTTGGTTGCATATGTTTCATTTTTATGGGAAGTCCAATAAGATTCTTTAAAATGCGGCAGCTATAATAAATACTACATTTAAGTGGTTAAGTTTTAATTAACTTTAATTGATTGTTTAACAAGATGGCATATGGATGTTGAAAACAAAACAATGTATTGTAAATGTGGTTGCATATGTTTCTTTTTTATATAGGAATTCCAATAAGATTCTTTAAAATGCGGCAGCTATAATAAATGCTACATTTAAGTCTTTAAGTTTTAATTAACTTTAATTGATTGTTTAACAAGATGGCATATGGATGTTGAAAACAAAACAATGTATTGTAAATGTGGTTG